CTCCACTGCATATCATTAACCTGTCCCTTTTAAAATCTTGGTTCTGTGAACTGTGCTCTACCTTTCATTGCATTCCTCCCTTGTTTGATGGTCTGTATATCTCTCTGTCCTGGTGGCATTTGCCTGCTGTATTGGGTGCCTTTGGTTTCTGTCTGTCCTATCCTGGGTGGGTGTGTCCATAGTTGGACACTGACGACCTTTTGGATGGTTCGAGTGATCCCTCCAGCTCGTTCTTCTCTGCCACTGGGGTGAGTAAAATCCCCCATTCTGCTTCCTTTCATTTTCTCTTAATCTTAGCATGCTAACCCAAATACCCTTCTTTTCCACTAACATCCCTACTCTGCTCAAGCGTTGATTTAGTGCATTGTGACAAAGTTTTGTCGGATTTTCATGTTGTTTAACTTGGGCTTTAGATCAAAAGGTAGTCACAAAAGTAATTTTATTGTTTAATTTCTTTGTTTTGTCTGCTTTTCCATTAAGGGCCATGTTCCAGAGGTCCAGCCTGCTGTCCAACTGTCGGCTAGTGAACCGGCAGGTCTGCCCAGAGTCAGTGTTGACTTGGATTTCTTGGAGGATGAAGACATCCTGGGTGGATCCCCAGGTGGTGAAGGTGGAAGCAATGGCATTGGGACAAACCACGAGCCATGTGACATCCTGCAACAGAGCCTGGCAGAAGCCAACATCACAGAGCAAAGCTTACAGGAGGCAGAGGCTGAGCTGGACCTGGGCACCTTTGGAATTCCAGGCCTTACACAGGTAGTTCAGACACTACCTGATACCAGCCTCTCTGGTGCTGGAAGCACTGCTGTTGGTGTAGGTATTGGTGTTGGGGGAGCAACAGCTATTTTCCCTGGGTCAACCCCTAGTACCACTGCTACTCCCCCTAATGCCACAGCTGAAATGCTAGGGTCTGTCCTTGCTCAGCAGGGTCTACAGCTCCAATCCCAGGTCATTAACAAGGCCATTAGTGTCCAGCCATTTGTGCAGCCCGTAGGCCTGGGAAATGTGACTCTTCAACCCATTTCAAGTCTTCAAGCACTTCCTAATGGGAGTCAGTCTGGACATTTGGGTATTGGACAAATTCAGGTTGTGGGTCAGCCCACAGTCATGACTATCAATCAGTCTGGACAACCAATCTTAGCTAAAGCAATGGGTGGTTACCAACTTCACCAGTCTGGATCGGAGGTATCAGGTGCTGGTTCTCAGACAGGGCTTGGGGGCTCAGGGAGTGGACTTGTGATCCAAGGTAATAAAGCCACTTTGGGATCTCCAGCTTTAAATGGACCAGCTGTATGTGTCAGCAGTACAAACAGCAGCAGTGGTGGTACAATGACCGCTCCTGCTGGGCTTGTGGGCTTTGGCAGCAACCCTCTCGGTTCTGGAATTGCATCCCAAATGCAAACACAAGGTCAAATAATGCAGAATGTCATCATCCAACGGACACCAACTCCCATTCAGCCTAAGCCTCCTCAGGGAGGAACCATCCAACCGAAACATTTCAAACCACAACAGCAGCAACAGCAAGCATCCCAAGCATTGCAAAATGATGCCCACAAGGCGTTAGGGCTACAGCAGATACCAGTTTCTGCAGCTCAAAATGTTACCTTTCTGACTGGAAAACCTGGCTCTAACGTTGTTCTAAGTACTCAAGCCACAACCCAGGGCCCCCAGTTTCAACAAACACTATTTAAGCAACAAACAGCACAACCATCTGGCAAGCCCCTGAGTGTTCAGTTGTTAAATCAATCAGGCAGCATTGTTCTCCCACCTCAGACAGTTTTGCAAGGTCAGAATCATCAATTCCTTCTCCCACAGCTCCAGCCAGGTGGGCAGATATTGACCCAGCATCCTGGGGGCCACATTATAACTAGTCAGGGTCCCGGTGGACAAATTATTGCAAATCAGATTTTAACTGCAAACCAGAACATCAATCTAGGTCAGGTGTTGACTTCACAGGGCCACACAGGAGCCCACATCCTCTCCGGACCCATTCAGCTTCAGCCTGGCCAGATGGGCACACCAACACTTTTTCAGATGCCGGTGTCATTGGCCCAGAGTCAAAGCCAGACTCAGTCACACACTGTCTCAGGTCATGCCCAGACGGTCATACAGGGCATGCCAATCCAAAACTCCCTAACCATGCTGGGCCAAGTGGAGGGGCTCAGTCCTGCAGTCACCCTTCAGCCAGCCCTGCAAGCTCAAGCAGGTACAGTTCCTAACAGCAGCAGCACAGTGGGAGCAACCATGAGTCAGGGTCAGCCTGGAGAGTGTGTTACTGTGCTTGGCAACTCTGCAGACCAGGTAGCTCATCATACACAGCAGCCCGTGGGACAGTCGTCTATTCTCGCCATGCAGCCTGCTTCCTCTGTGTCAACGACCATCGCAGTACCTGCCTCGTCTCCGTCCATATCTGTGTCCACCTCCTCGTCTGTCACAGCAGTGGGGCTGGTTCCCCATCAGGCTCAGCACAGTCCAGGAAGGTTATTGCTTACCAACCAGGGCTCCAGCATGATTCTTAGCCAAGAATCTCTGCAGATGTTCCTGCAACAGGTCAGTTTTGCATTATTTGCATGTTTGCTTTACAGTTAACATTGTTATTAAAAAAAAATAACATTGCACGCAATGATATCTTGGTCTGACCTCTTTGGTTTACTATTTTACCCTCCTCCCTTCCAAACCCCCAACCCTCAACTCTATCCTGAAACGGTTAATGTACTCCTATCAGCAGCAGCACCACCAAACAGAGAATGAGTCAACCCCCTCAGTGGGAGTGCCTGCGTCTGTAATCGTCAGCAGCAACAACATCACTGCTCTGGCCCCCGCTGTCCATGACAGCCAATTAACTGACTCTTGGGTGGGTCAGAGCCACAGTCCTTGCCCTGGCCCTTCCCACATGACAGCAGTGGTAAAGCAGGTAGAAGTGCCCCTTTATGTTAAGCCCCATCTCACTTGTTGCCGCTGCTGCCACAACACTAGGGTATTTTATCCTTTCCCCTCATTGCTCCATCCTCCTCTGCATTATTCGTTGCTTCCATTGCTTTCACTGTTGCTCTGCAAATCCAAAGAGTAAAACAATGCTGACTTGCTTCCATCTCCTTTGTGTTCTAACATTGCTTGTTCACTTTTGTGTTTAAATTGTGTTGTGTGTTTTAATTTAACATATTCATATCAATTCCGGCCATTGTTTTGTTTTAACCCTTTACATTGGGCTAATCAATGCTGTTTTTTTACTAAAACTTTCAAAATTGCAAAATTTCTGTTTTCATTTGGTAAACAGAAAAAAATGACTGCAAAAATGCATCTCGTTTACCTCTGTACTAATACCAATTAACTCAACTCACCATGCAGAAATTTCCACCAGTCACTTTCATCTGATGCATCAGCAGCTGTAAAAATCCATACTCCTAAATCATGCACTTCATGTTTACACTATACTTTTTTCTCACAGTTACTTGAGATTTTTTTACAAGTTATTCTGTGTATGACCAACGTAATCACTCCAAAACCCTAATTACACGCCAGCCTTTGTCCCATCCCTGGAGTATTCCGATTAATTTTCTACCTAAACACCACAGACCCAAATGGCCTTACTTCCTGCTTCTGTCAACTATTGTTCTCTTTGGCTTTAAATGATCGCTGTTGTCTTTGTTGTTGTGTAATCCCCTAAGTGCTATCAATTAAACTATATATTGTTTCGTGAGTTTTGTTATAGGGTTGGGCGATACGCTTTGAACGTTTTTAACAGTTTATACCATATTCCACTGTTTGATTGTCATTAAGTACTGTCAGTGAGAAACTAACTCACTCAAGTTCATCAGGTAAAACAGGCTTAGGTATCAAAGGACTTGAATGATATTTTTACTTTTTAAAAAGTTGTGGTCTAGTGTCAGAACACTTAGATTAAAGAAGTAATGTGGATTGTTTTTGGCTGGCTGTACTTGATGATAATATTGAGCACTGGTTATTCAACATTGTTATTCATATCCAATTTTTTTTTGTAATTATTAAACCAAACATAGGTGTGACATAACAGCTCACATTTGGTTACCAGTTCAATTACGGTCATTGTTAAAAATACAGTCTAGTAAAGTTTGTGATTTAACCTCATCACCCAACCCAGCTTTGTATTTAGCATAAAATTGTAGACAACAATTCTATTTATTACAAATTGTGTGCATGTAGAAAAATTAGTTTTTTGTCCTTCATTTGTTTTTCCCTTTGAATTATATTTGAAATTCATATTAGTATTATTGCTCATACCAATATTTTATGATGCCACTTTTTCAGCTGCCGTCCAGTGGACATCAACAGCCCATAAAGATCCAGAGCATGTCCCCATCCACTGCCTTGACCACTCACACTGCAGCACCTCCAGTGGTAGTGAGTCCCCAGCCTTCCCAGTCTCCTCTCACTCTGAGTCAACAGATCCAGTCACCACATCAGCAGCAGTCCCGTCCTCCCTCTCAGCCACAGCCACAGTCCCAGACTCCGTCTCGCTCCTGCACCCCCTCATCTCACCCTCCGCTTTTTATTGTTCACAACCAAATTACAGAGTCTCCCCAACCAACACCACAGGGTCAGCCCCAGCAAACGCAGCTACAGCAGACGCACATTCCAGTTCAGCTTCAGTCTCAACCTCGCCCACCCTCTCAGCCTGTCCCCTATCAACAGGATGTCTCCCCTTTGGCACAGTCACCAAAGCCTCCTCCTGCACCACCTGCACAAAACCCGTTCACTGCGCCTCCTGTTAGCACTTCTGCTGCACCCGCTGTTGTAAAAGCTCAAATTCCCATTCAAGGTTTGACATCAGAGCAGCAGCACCACCACCTGCAGTTAGTAGGAGCACAGATTCAGACCCTCTCTGCCATCTCCCAGCCCACACCTCAGCAGAAACAGCTGCTGGACAAGTTGCACCAGGTATTGTATCTGACACCTTATATTAAATTTGTAGTTGATGTCTTGTGCTGAAGGTTCAGGCAGTTACCAAAACTTTCTTTCAGTCTGTGTTCATATTTCAATGTATGACAGTCACACTATTCTTAGTCAATTTCTAATTTGTATTATATGTTGTCTCTATAATCTTTCAGTTGTAACAAACTTTGTTTAAATAGGTGTTAACTTAGTAATCACGTAACTACCTTCCCATCCATAGGGCTCTTGTCTGGATCAAGATACTTAAACTAATAAATGTAAAACCGGTTATGCTTTAGAAGCCGGATATATATTTTATATAACTGCCATAGTTTTCGGCAAGTTCAAGGCATGTCTTGTTTCCTTTAAGTGAGAATGCACTGAAGAGATACTACACCTTTATTCTCCTATCACCTCACTGTTTATACATGTTTCTGTCGCATCTCAAACTATAAACTATATTCTAATAAAAATGTAAACAAATTAGGGTTAAAGCCCAGTTTAAACTTTTTAAAAAGCAGTTAACAGGTGTATCTGAAATTGTCAATGTATTTTTTTTTATTATTTATTTATGTGCTTTTTTTTTTATAGGTCCAGCAGAACATTCTTTTGCAGGCCAAGCAGGCTGCCCAGGTTCCCGCTCAACCCAACACTCAGTTAAATTTCCAGCAAGACGTGCCTCTTGATAAAGTTGTGCTTGCATCAACGCCGAGCACTGCTACCCCTGCCCAACTTTCTTCCGTGCTGCAGCCCACACCAGTGCTTGTCAAACCTCCTGTTACAGGTTAGAAAGGATTTACCAAAGTGAAAAAACATGACATCAAACACACCTTGGGTAAAAATTTCTGATAATATTGTTGTGTATCCTTTGATCCCAGCATCAAGTGACCTACAACTATTCTCAGGAGCCCAAGGGCCAGCTGGAGCATTGGTGAATCAGTCAGTCACCCATGCAAACCTTACTCAGCCTGCACAGGTTGGCATCCTTAAAAAATATTTGTGTATATAGACTGTCGTTCTTTGTTCTTGTGAACCTGTGGTGTATTTACATCTTATTTTCTCTGTGATTCTCAAATATTCAAACAGGTTCAGCCAAAGCCAGGAGTGATCAGCTCAGTTGGAGGGATGACTCTGGGCAAAGTTGGAATGCAGATACAAGTGTTAGGACCTAGTCTGGCTCAAATGCCTGCTCCACAGGCACCAGCTCCAGCACAAACTCAGGTTAAAAAAAACAGGATCAGATCAAAATTGCACACACCTCGAGTCACTGTTGTTTTTATTTCTAAAGAGGAGTTCAACTCTTTTTATGACTGCTGTAATTACAGACAACAACAACTACAACAATGAAGATGCCTTTCAGTGCAGAGCCCAGCAAGGAAGCAAGGTGTGTGGCACAGGCAGTTTAATTGTTGTTTTAATCGTCATAAAAATAACTTAATTTAAAGTGTTTTCTTTTAATGCACACCTTTTTGCAGGATGCTTGAACAGCTGAGGAAACAGCAGGGTTCGGTGCTTCACCCAAACTACAGCGCTCCTTTCTGCTCTTTTGATGACACACTGCATAGACTGCTTCCTTACCATCTCTACCAGGGAACTGCCAACTCTTCTCAAGACTATCAAAAAGGTATGAAGGTTGACAATCACTGCTTGATCGTAATAAACTTTATACACATCCCACCTTTATTCCTGCAGCGTTGAACACCTTTGAAAACATTTTGAATGCTGTGATCATTATATACTATAAATCTCGTTTTCCCACAAGAACAAGTATTTAATGATATAAAAATTACTCCTCATGACAGAAACATCTGAATCATCAGCACTATGAGTAGAATATACATGGAGAATCTTTTCACCTCTAACAATGCTGCAAAGCTCATGCAATCATATTTGAGTAAATTTCCACACACTGTACAAAATGTCTGTACAATTTAAAAGCTTCATGAACAACTTGTCTCTCCTGTGCACAGTGGATGATGAATTTGAGAGAGTGTCGTGTCAGCTGTTGAAAAGGACCCAGGCTATGCTGGATAAATATCGCTACCTACTCTTCGCTGAATCCAAAGTAAGTTTATAAACCAACATTGTCAAAACAGGAGAGTCTTGGTCTGGAATTCAAAGTCAAGTCAAAGCTGAAGTCGGCGTCACGGTCTATTCTGTCATGCATAATAGAAGGGTATACATAACATTTTTAACATCTAGGAAAAATAAAACAGTAACACAAAGCTTACAACAACTTAAGGTACATTGAAATGATAAGTGTGAATGATAACAATCATCATCAATCAAGCAGTGATTGTCAACCTTCTTATAAAAACTTGGGATGTATATAACAGGTTTTGTAGGCAAAATATTGAATTATTGATACTAGCCAAATACTGTAGCTTGGGCATGGCATGGTGATGATCTAATTTGGATTTTATTTTGAAGTAACGTTTTCTGTCATTGGAACTCAAGCAGAGACTTGGCCCCTCAGCAGAGATGGTGATGATTGATCGGATGTTCATTCAGGAGGAAAAAATTGCATTGAATCAGGACAGGGTTCTGGCCAAGGAAAGCCCAGGTACAATAGCACCCTCTGTCACCAAAGGGTAGTTCACTGTTTGTTTATGTTTATTCTAATGTTGATTATTTCATGTCTCTGCAGAGGAATTCGTAGCAAACGCCCGCTTGTTGGACAGTGTATTTTCATCCCTGGAGAAATCCCCGCCTGCTGAGCACACCTCAGGGAGTGGAAATGTTACTGCTCCTTCTAACGCTGCTTCTAACGTCCCTACCACCACCACCACCACTGCTGCTGCTGCCGCGGTTGCCGTCCCTGCTCCAACACCTGCTGCTCCTGCCCCAACCCCGTTGCCAAAATTCAACCCAAACCCTCCCCCCATACCAGCCCCAGCTTCAATTCCTGCTCCATCTCCTACTCCTTCTGCCACGTCTGGCAGCCCCTTCCCTCCTACCAAACTTGTAATAAAGCAAGGTGGAGGTGGAGCTTCTGTTTCATGGTCTAGCAGCTGCCCACCGCCTCTAGCTGCAGCAGGCAAGTCAGTGGCCAGACCCACCAGCCACAGCTCTTCCTTTGGCCGGGCACCTCCAGCCTCTTCCTCCTTCTCGTCCTTTGACACACAGGCAGCAGACGATGATGACGCTCTGCCTCTACAGAGGACCAGCAAACCACCTATCAAGACCTACGAGGCCCGCAAGAGAATTGGCTTGAAGCTAAAGATCAAGCAGGACCAAACTGGGTTCAGTAAGGTGGTCCATAACACGGCCTTAGACCCAGTTCACACACCTCAACCTCAGCTGAGCAGTCAGTCCTCATCCCAACCTCAGCCTGGAGCTGCACTGCCACATCCAAAGTCTCACTCTTTATCGTCTCAATCGACAACAGTCATCAGAACTCAGCCTTCTGTGTGCACTGCTTCCTCTGAAACATCAGTCTCCACAACAACCACTTGGTGTAACCAGACCCAGCGAGGTAGCTTTCCTCCCACTGCAGTCCCGTCTTCATCTTCATCTTCCACTAATACGTGGTCATCCTCCTCTTCCTCATCATCAACCACACAAATGAATGGGACTGTGGATCATCATAACGTGGGTGGGGTTAAGCACAACCCTGCCTCCACTGCCAATCCTTTTCCGACCACCTGCCGTCTTCCCCTTCGGAAAACCTACCGAGAAAACATTAGCCCACGGGTGCGACCTGGAGTCCCTGGGGGAGGAGATGAGAATCTGTCCTACCCCAGACCATCACTATCACCCCCCAGGCAGGAAGCCTCATCCCCTTCCTCAGAGCGGACAGTAATAGCAAGTGTTAAGGTAGAGAAAAGAGGCAGAGAAGGCTTGCAAACTTTCCCAGAGACTACCCAACAAAGGAGTCGTTTGGGGAGTGCGGTGAATGAAGTGGATGAGGTTTTCAATCGTGGTATAAAAACCACACACCATCACGTACCACAGCTCCTGGAAAAGGAAGGGGCAAAGGAGAGAGTAGAGGAGCACACAGACCAAGAGACTGATGTTGGTAAGTTCAAGATTGCGGGAGGGAAAAATAGACATAGGATAGGTGCAACATTCAGAATGGACCAGCATGCCCCTGGGCCACCCTCTCCAGAGTCTTCCTTTACAAGAGACCCTTTACTTCCTGCCAAACGTTGCAAATCAGATTCCCCTGACATGGATAATGCTAGCTTTTCTAGCGGCAGCCCCCCAGATGACTCTCTAAATGAGCATCTGCAGTGCGCTATCGACAGCATACTGAACTTACAGCAGGAGCCTTCTACACATGGGCACCATATAAGAGGGGGCAACAAGCCCCACCACCACCACCACCAAAGCCAGCGCCAAGGGGGCTCAGTAGCTTCGTCCCACAGACCCTTAGTCCCACCGGCCTCCTCTACTTCGACGCCCTCCCTGGTCCAGCACCCTCAGGTCAGTGGCCGTGGCCACAACGGCAACCTAGTGCCCCAGAGTCAAAGTAGATAACAGCCCCTCAGCCTGAGGCCAGACTGACGGTGATGGGAACTGAGAGACATGATTTTGGCAGGGGGTCACTGTGAAAACAGCATCACTGTACTACTCTGACAGACTGTGTTGACTTTGTTTGTCCCTTTGAATTGTCCAAACATTTCCTTGTCATTTACAGCCTAAGTTTGAGCCGCAGTGGTCCACGTGTGAGTGTGGTTTAAGGTTGTACAGATCTGTCCACGCGGCAGACTCTACAACAACTGCCCTATCGTCTTTGTTCTGTCAGCTGTGCTTGAAAAAGATGTAATTATCAGATGTTGTTCTCCTCTCTTCATACATTCCCGTCATGTGATCTGAGCACCAACGGTTACTCTCCTTTAAACAGTGTCCCAGTGAGCATCAGGCAGCTCCACAAGTCAACAGCTCTAATTTCAAAATGTGTTACCTGCACTTGAGAAAATATTTGTGCTGTACAAAAAGTTACATGCGGTATCGTCCTACAACAACCAAGTGTAATGTCCTTATCAAAAAAGTAATGCAAAAAGCACATATGAAAAATTGGGCCTTTTCTTGTAGAATCTCATTATTTTCAGTTGGTGAAATGCAGCCTTAACTCCCTTCATCCCCTGCCTCAGCTAAATATGCCTCACATTTTAAGACAAAATGTGTCAATGAAATTATATGTTGTTTTTCTGTTCACCACTCACGGGCTCTTTGTTAAGATGTAAATGATCATGTAAGGAAGTTTGGTTCGTTTTTGGCTTTCCATTTTTTTAGGGCATCCTCACACACGTCTGCCCCATGATGTCACATTAGGGCTTTATGCATTTTAGTCAGCAGGGGGCAGGCCAGTTTTAACTGTTGATTCTCTCTGTTCTCAAGTGTGTTTCATATTTCTACAACTGTCTCTCTGCCTCCTCCTGTGTGTGTGTGTGTGTTTTTAAAGCCTGGTGGACAATTCAAACCCAAACACAGCACAAGCATTGAAATGGAAAAAAAGGAACAATAATATTGTACAAAAAGAAGGTGAGAGAATTTGAAGTATAGTATTACAGATTAATTTTGTATTGTATTTATTGTGTATAATGACACTTTTTAAAAAAATGTACATTTAGTAAAACTGTAAATTAAACCTTGCTTCTTAATGAAACTCAACAGTGCCTTTTGCTATTTGTCATTCCCAATCTCCATACATTCCTGTGAATGATTAATGATGAATGCTGTGCATTGGTATGGAGGGGTGTGTTCTCTATCAGACAGCCAGCAGGTGGTGCATGGAAATGGAAAAGTAGCTTCTGGGCTTAAATTTTTATTGGAGGAGCACGTGTTGAGCACTGAAGAGAGGTGAGTCACATCACTGTACACACAAGACAGTATTGAGGAAAATAAAGTACAATCACGAGATGATTGCTCTATGAGTTTATTACCTCAATTAAAGCATGAACGATGCCCAAAGTGATGTCTGGAAAAAAATTTTAAAGAGAAACTCCACCCAAATTATTTATTTACCACCCCCTCTAACCTCCCACCATCCCTCTTCTGACTCCACACCCTGTGACCACAGCTCATCCCTGCCCTGAGCTGCAGAGTGTTGGTGCTGCCCACAGTGTTGCCAGGCATCCCTGGAAGAGGAGGTGCGTTCAGCAGTGAGGAGTTTGCCTCTGTGTGAGAGCCTCTGTTTTTCTTCTGCAAGCAGAGAGCAAAGACTCGTGCCAATTCTGGAGCTCATCTGAAATACATTAAAAGCCTGGAGAAGAACGATCCTCTACAATCTGGCTGAGTTGGACGCGTCACCGACGGCTCCTATTTGCTGTTAGAACACACACACAAGTACAAGTCGCTGCAGCTCCTCTGAGGGACTGTTTTTGTGTCCTCAAGTCAAAATATTTTCCAGACTCCAGACAGCGAGAGAGAGTGAGAGAAGGAGACTAAAGCGCTGTAGAAGTTTCTTCCACTGTAACTAGGTAAATTCTTTCTTTTTTTTTTTACAAAAGAAATCTCACTTTTAAACTTTTCAGCGTCAGACTGTGATGCAGTACAGCAGACCAAGCCTCCCTGGTGTGTGGTAAGTAAAGATTATACTGTAAAAATGAGGTAAGATGCCCTTAGTGTCAGCTGTCCTAATAAATATTTCTTATTATTTCTTTATTTGGATGCTTAGTTAAGCTCTTCCTAAACTTGTTGCATGTGGAGGCCGTAGTGATGGGTTTTTAATTTCCAATCTGTGTTGTAATTATGGCGCAGAAACCCACAAAGTATTTTTTCAATCTTAAATCCAGAAACGTATTCTAAACCAAAGCATTAAATCTCGAGGAGACGCGTGTAAATCAGATTTTACTTGCAAAACTTTGCTGGAAAACTTTCAGTGTATGTTACAATGTGCAAATGACTTTTAATGTCTCCAGCTTACATCCAAAAAGATCGCCATTTTGACAAGACCTCACAGGCCTTGTGACATGTTAGTGCACGGCTGTTATCTGTCCTCTGGGCACAGTGTTTTTCTGTTTTAATCTGGTTTGGAATTGTAAAAAAAAAAAAAATTCCCTTCACAGATGAGTTTCCATCTGCTGGTGCATGTCTCACTTTTGTGTCAGGACAACCCTTTAATGATGAGCTTCCACTCTCGTACTTAATCCAATGTTTATGTTTGTATAGACACCAGTGGAAAAAAAAGTTATTTGAGTTTTTTTTTTTTTACAGACTTCCTACAGACTTTCCTCTGTTCCTCGCTCTAGCTCTGCACATATTTAATTTTCCACCAAGAGGAACAGCAGGGAATAGGAAGAATGTCTTACTCATTTTAGTGAGAAATGAGCCTGGCGAATCCTAACACAGGGCTTGGTTTGCAATTTTCCAACACCAATTTTTTCCCCAGTTGAACACTAACAATGCTTGGCCCGCTCTTGGTGAACTAACCATTACCTCCATTTTACTCTTTTCTTGAAGTTTAAACAGATACCGATCACAAGTTGACTGTCTAAAAAAGCAAGAATTGTTTTGCTCTTCTTGTTAAATCCCATCTGGATCTTTTTTCATTTTCTGTCAATGCAGGAACTAAAAGGTGCATTCAGGAGGTGAAGATACAGACTTCTAAAGAACTATCGTCCCTTGTTGAAGGTTTCAAGGACAAGTGAGAAGTGGTCACATAAATACAGGAAGCACCTGAAGATTTTCCACGCGTCCACAGGAGAGGGAAAAAAGAAACAGCAGCAGAAAACAAACATAAGTCTTTCAGTTAGTTGTGTAAGAGGCTGAAAACATAATTACCCAATAAATATGTCACGCTGGGGGCGTAAAAATGTGAAAAAGGCACCAGAGGTGATCCGCACTGTGACAGAAGGGCTCAAATCCCTCTACCGAAAGAAGCTGCTGCCTCTGGAACAGTACTACGGTTTTCATGATTTCCACTCTGCCAGTCTGGAGGATGCAGACTTCGACAACAAGCCTATGGTCCTGGTGGTGGGGCAGTACTCCACGGGAAAGACGACATTCATCAAGTAAGACATTAGAGCTCCGCATCAAAGGTTACTTATGTACAAGATGACCAAATAAGGGTTGTTTCCCGTGTGACAGGTATTTACTGGAGCAGGATATTCCTGGGAGCAGAATTGGACCAGAACCTACCACTGACTGCTTCACTGCCATCATGCACGGGGAGGTGGAGAGCGTCATTCCTGGGAATGCCCTTATTGTGGATCCAAACAAACCTTTCCGCAAACTCAACCCCTTTGGAAACACCTTCCTAAACAGGTGGGAGCGGAAGCTTTTGCAGAGTGTTATGTTATGCTAAGATTATATTAAAGGACAATCAGATGGTCAGATGATGAGCTGCACAATAAACTGATATGTCATTAAGTTGAGGAGATACTTGGCTGTTATTTATAGGAAACTGATTGATGTTACATACTGTAGTTGTTTATATTGTGTACCGGAACTGCTTGATTCAAAATATAAAATGCTAATTAATCAATTTGAGCAATCTGTTCAAAACAAATGAGCTCATCAACACAGGGTGGACAAACATCATTAGACACCAACCCAAATAGGGCAGGAGTGATAACGCAGGGGTTTTTTCAGCACATTGGAATTTCAAGACCTTGTGCCAAATTTCGGAGCAGAGAGGCACTCTCCTTATTTGTGGAAAAACTGAGAAAGGGAGGGATATCACTGGGGAGGGTGATGAGAGCTAATGTACGCAGAAAGGAACTGCTCTGTACGCAAGTTCAAAGGGGAGCTCATTGGCCCTCGCTGCCTCTGTGGTCGAAGACTTGGCGTCACTCACTTGGTGAGGCCTGTAAGAGGAAGTCGTTTCGCTGGAGGTTGCTTTCTTTCCATTGAATGTTTCTTTCCATTGTAAGTCACATGTCTGTCATTGAAGCACCTTGAAAGAATAAAAACGTGGACATGCAGCTGAGAAGTGACAGGAGAACTGTTGTGCTCCTGTTAATTGGCCTCGGTCAAAATGTTCCAATGTCAGTTTTCCAGGGTGGCTCCATCTCCACCTTCTGCAGGGCGTGTTTGCTAACGTATTTACGTCTCTCCTCTTGCTGCAACTTCCTGTGTTGGGAACCAGTGGGCTCGTTAAGTTCATAAGAGACAGGAAGCAGTGTTGTTGTTCTAAGCCACACATCGTTAGCAGGACTTATTGTTCAGTTCTGGCACAAGTGGTCATTTTCCTTCAGGAAACATGAAGCATTGAGAGGCCTCATTGCACACAATGGCCTGTAGAAGGAGGGGCACGGAGTGGACGGAGCTGTTTCTAATCTGCTCACTGAATCACATCAGCCTCTTTGATAAGAGTTGACCATTTGTACATCCTTCACATTCTTTATATTGACACTGCCAGTCTTTCAAATTTGCCTTGTCTTCTATCTGTCTAACGAAATGCTAGGTTCCAGTGTGCCCAGATGTCCAACCAGGTTCTGGAGAGTATTAGCATCATTGACACACCTGGGATCCTGTCTGGGGCTAAGCAGAGAGTGAGCCGAGGTGAGAGAAGTAGAAAAGGTGAGGAGAGGGAATGGGGGGCCTGCTGAGACCCACGCCCTTGAGCATCATCACATAAAATCTTTTGGCACGCCTGGCTAACTCCTGGGACCAGTTTGCTCTGTCACACATAACACTTGGCAGCAGGGCAAGAAAGATTCTCAGTGGAGCAGCAAGCAGCCATCAATCCATAATCAGCAACAGAAATAACAGCGACAAAAACTGTAGGGAAGTCTGGCAAAGAAATCATCCTCACTGCCATCTCACTGTCATTTCTCTATTTTTCATTCATCCACACTGCAAGTAACCCCCCCCCCAAAAAAACAATCTGCATGATCAACTAACACATTAAAATGGTTAGAGCACCCACATAATCTAAAATGTTCAGATAAAATGTTTTGTCTTTGTTGTGGTTTTGAAATTTTACCCTTCACTCGAAAACAGTTGGGTTGTTCATTTTTTTAAACAACATGGAGGACATTGTGTATAATAATCCGTAATATTCAATGACAAATGAGTAACTGATGTGTAGGCCCGACTTTAAAATTCAGATAAGGATGTTTGAAAACACTGCAAAACCTTTTTATAGCAAAAGTAATTTCAGAAACACCTGACAATTAACCTAAAATTTGCTTAAATTTAGCACTTACATAAAAGCCAAATTTCCAAAAGAACCTGAATGGCCCCGGGTCTAGATGTTGAGCGTGACTCTTCCATACCCTCTCTTGCTCTTCTATATCTTTGTTGAAAACACTTATGAAACAACTTCATATTTTTTTAACATTATATTTTGAACTTTTGCAGGCTATGACTTCCCAGCTGTGCTGCGCTGGTTTGCGGAGCGCGTAGACCGCATCATCCTTCTGTTTGATGCCCATAAACTGGAGATTTCAGACGAGTTCTCTGAGGCTATCAGTGCCTTGAAGGGCAATGAGGACAAGCTGCGGGTGGTGCTGAACAAGGCAGACATGGTGGGCACACAGCAGCTGATGCGGGTGTACGGTGCGCTCATGTGGTCCCTCGGTAAGGTGTTTGGCACTCCGGAGGTTCTGCGTGTCTACATCGGCTCCTTCTGGTCAGAGCCACTGATGGTGGCAGACAACCGAAAGCTGTTTGAGCTGGAAGAGGAAGATCTGTTCGCTGACATCCAAAACCTTCCTCGCAACGCAGCTCTGCGCAAACTCAATGACCTGGTTAAGAGGGCACGTCTGGTTAGGGTGAGTAAATCTGCTTGGCTGAAATGGTTTCATTATTGACATAACAGTGAGGGAAAAATGTACTATAGTAAAAAAGATTTTTTCTGTTTTTTTTCCCCCAAACCAGGTGCACGCTCACATCATCAGCTACCTAAAACAGGAGATGCCGTCCGTCTTCAGAAAAGACAATAAAAAGAAGAATCTGATCTACCAGCTGCCAGTTATTTTCTCCAAGATCCAGCTGCAGCACAACATTTCTGCCGGAGACTTCCCAGACTGTGCTAAGATGCAGGTAAGTCTGAGTGTTTATAGTTTTCACTACTGGTTACATCTGGAAGACAAATGTGCTGCCCGACCATATAGGTTTACAGTGTGCAGCTACAAATATGCTAACTGTTCCACAGTCAGATGGTGTGTAACGTTGTAGTCCGATGTCATCACATGTCAGTTCAAAAGTTCAAAAGCGGGCAGAATAAGGTCAAGCAGACAATCTTAATTGACCAGGGCTATAATTGTGAAAGTAGCGTTTGTGTCTATGTGTGCGCCTGTGATGGACAGGCCAACTGTCCAGAGTGTACCCCCTCCTTGTCCAGTCTTGCTGGAATTCTACCTTGGTGAACCTGGAAAGGACCAATCTGACCATATAATATTACATTCTCGTCCAAGTGAGAGAATTATTAGGGTCTAAGAGTAGTTGACATAACATGTTAATCATCTTAGATTTTATATATATACTGTCAAAAGTCTGTCAAATTTGACATGTTCCCTTCTTTAAGGAACAACTGATGGTTCATGATTTCACCAAGTTCAAAACTTTGAAGCCCAATCTCATGGTAGCCTTGGATGAGCTACTGTCCTCTGACATTGCCAAGCTAATGCCCCTCCTGAGGCAGGAGGAGCTGGAGGCAGGTGAGCAACTAGGTGTCCAAGGAGGAGCCTTCCTCGGAACCCGTGTCGGACCATTCAGTGAGGGCGACCCATTTTCCGATGTGAACGGAGATGCATGTGAGGAGGAGGAGGATTGGGTAGTGACCAAAGATAAACCCAAATATGATGAAATCTTCTACAACCTGGCACCCGCTGAGGGGAAGCTGAGTGGCACCAAAGCGAAGGACTGGATGGTTAGTTCTCGCCTGCCTAACTCAGTATTGGGCCGCATATGGAAGCTGTCCGATGTGGACCGTGACGGCATGCTGGATGATGAAGAATTTGCTTTGGCCAGCCACCTGATTGAGGTCAAGCTGGAGGGGCACGGTCTACCACCTGAGTTGCCCACTCGTCTGATCCCGCCGTCCAAACGCAGACAGGGCTCTGATGCGTAGACGTACGAGCTGTGATAGACTCTATACTCTGATTGGCTGACACACTTCTGCTACTGTTTGCAAATGCCCTTCCCTCTAAACACACGTCAAAAGATGTATGTATTGCGTTTTAATTTTAACCAGCAAATGCTTTCTTCCGACAGAGTGTATATAAAGTCACATGGATCTGAATTTGCGTTCCTCAAAATTAGCTTTTTTATTATGAACTTTTAAAACATATATCTTGATAGGCTGATAAAGGCTGGTGCTAAGGACACACTATGGGACTTTTTGGCAGAGTTCGCCTATGGTTCCTCGTCGGGCGTGTCCACACTAGTTGGGGAAAAGTGCCATGGCAAAGTGACACAAAAATATGTACCAGCTGAGTATGCAGATTGGCATGCCTGTGAGGGGAACCCCAGCTTTGTTACAGTCAGTGAAATGTAGTTGTTTTTTTTTAGCTGAATCTGGATGGAGCTGTGTAGTACTGTAGGAACTGAACGAACCAACTAATTAGTATGTTAATGTTGACTAATTAGACAGCAGCGCTCACAAGAGTTCACACCGGAACTCCAAGCATTCTGTTGCCCTAAGTTGGTTTCACAAATGATGTAGTCTGGGATTCTTTAGAAGAGGCAGTGGTAGACTGTGTGACCTTCAGTCCTTTAGTCATCACCCTTCGTATTTTGGCTCTTCACTTCAGCTCGCCTTTTCTCCCCTTCCTCCTCTGCTTGTTCACCAAACGTCTCCATATCCTCTTTCACAACATCCACATATCTGGGGTCTTCCTTTTTCCACTTTCCTGGCAACTCCATCTCCAATATACCATCTCTCTTCAGTACATTTCTAATCCATATCCAGACTTAAATCGGCATACAAAAATCTATTAAAGTCGTGTAGTGTGTCCGCAGCTAATGCAGGCAGTATTTAATACATACTTACCACACAAACATTTAAATCACTCATTCCTTCAGTGATTCATTCCAGTGAGAGGATTGTCAACAAATGTATTTACATGAATTATAATTTTCTTGTGTTTTCATTCAACACAATCCCAATAACCTGAATTTATTCCACACTTTGATGCTTCATACGCCACACTTTGAGCATTCTCTATATATTATTTTTGTAATTGTTGCTGTTGTTCTGTACGTGCAGGAGCCCGACCTCGGTGAAAAAATATATAATGAAATCAACGTTTCAACTACAGATTGAATGATTGATATATTGCTTACTACTGTACACAGCTCCACCAACTCTTTTGTGTCAAATGATGATGTAACCAAATAAAATTCCTCCACTGTGTCTGTTCTCACTTTTTCTTGTTCTTGTTCAGAAGAGCTCAAAATAGTTTACAGTGAAGAGCTAACAGCTGAGTGACTTTAATTTGGCACCACCAAGAAGAATTTCTTTTCTATCGAGCTCAGTTGGTCTCTCAGTGACGGAGCAGATAAACATTGACTCACACTCTCCCCTGCCAAGTCCCCATAACCACCATTTTCCATAGCACACTCCTCACTCATTCCCACCATCTGAAAGCCTTTATTTACTGGCTGGCCACAGCCCTTCGTCGTTGTTTACTTTTATGCTCATACTCTCACTGCCTCTGTGTACAACTCGTATGGCTTCACACTGTGTAAACTGTATGCACAAATATCTGTCTCCAGTACAGATATGCGCCCTTCACACAGGGTTACAATTTTATTTTGCGAAAGAAGGGGCGGCGTCCTCGCCTCCCTGTTCCACTCCTCCATGGAAAGAAACACAAATGAGAAACAGGCAAACCAAATCTTTCCTCCCTGCTTTCTGGCTTACAGTGAGTCACATGTAAAGAATGTGGTGGGAGGGCTCAGAGTTATTAATACCTCCTTTCCAAGGGTCTGTTAAGGTTCCTCAGACGTGTCAGTCGTGCACAAAAACCTAAACACTGTACCTCTATGAGAGACTTTGAACAACATCCCCTTGTTTATAGGGCTGCTGTGTTAACAGCTGCTGTTCACCACACCCTCAGCTTGTGTGTGAAAATATGGGAGGTAAAGAAGAAAAAGACTAGCTTATCGACGACTACTGTAACAGTGCAGTTCAAATGTTGTGCTGTGCTTGGATGACCCCTCCATATTTCCAAGAGCATTTTTTTTTTCAAATAGAACAAAGCCCTTCTGTTTTCTCATCAGACCAGCTGCGTCATAAACCATCTTCACCATCTGATGCTTAAAACAGTGACACGCAGGCAGCAGAGGAGCCCACCACCACACAGAGACATCCCCAACAATCGGCTTACTCAACCAAAGCAGGGGTCCCCCCACACGTCACTCCGCACTTACATGGGGAATACCTCCAGGACAAACCTGGAGTGGACAAAAATAGTTGGTCATCTTCTCTGCTCTGTGGCGACATCTGGTGGAGAAGACAGGACTCTTGACATCCTTAAAGTGAAACTGTACGTTACGGTAGCCAGCACTTGATGGCAGACTAGAAACATACAACTGTTTTCTTCTGTATTTGTGCTGACAGTTTTCATTCATTTTATTTAAATTATTCTATTATCTCTTGTATTATTTCTTTATAGTAACCCCCCCACCCCAATTATTCTACTTTAATAAGGAAGTTTATCTTTTCCAGGACGAATTAAGTAAAAAAAACGTTTTCTCGAGTTTTTATTTACAATTTTATATTGACTGTCTGATTTATTATATACCAAATACATAAAAACCAACTTGTTATCTTGAGTCCTTTAATGTTTATTATAAGTACATTTGTTTATTTATCTAAAACAATACCAAATCATGAAAAAATATCTGTTGTTTTATCACAAAATATGAGACCACACCTGGCAAATATAAATCACACACCAAAAAAATTAAACCTTGGCAAAAAAAGAGGTTAAAAGCATTGGTCTACATTATGACAAACTGCTTTATCTCTACAAAGAATCTGAGAAACTTCTAATGAAAATGTTTATTATATCAGTGTCCATGAAATGGCCGTTCATTTAAATGCCTGTTGAACAAAGCACAGGAGTTTTGTTAATTGAACTGAACACAACTGAGGTGGTTACAGAATAACAAATGGACATTTCAAACATTTCCCTAAGTTGTATGTGTTTTCAGCAGAGTCTAGAAACTGAAGTGGTTTTTGATGTCTTTTATCTGCTTCATCATGTCACTGATTTGCTGTCCCTGTTCTCTGAGGACCTCCTGCACAACCTTTTTTTGGTGGGCATTAAGTGACACAGTCGCCCTGGCTCCCGGCACATCCTTCTCCACTTGTTTCTTCTGGTACTCCATCTTCATGTTCACCTGTTTGATGCAGTTGTCCATGTGCTTCAGTTGATCGCTGATGGTTTGCAGCTCTTTCTTCATGTCCTTCTCACTGCTGGACAGATTGGGAAGTTGGCTTTGCAGGCTGCCCAGCACTTTTTTAACCCTGTTCATGATGGTTTCCTGGCGGTATTTTGCATCTTCATACTTATCAGCCAGTCTTTCTGCTGCCTCCGTCAGACTCTTCCTGTCCTCTCTGCACAGAGAAAGCTCCTCTAGCTGCTTGTTCTTCTGGCCTGTCAGGAGTTTGACTCTTTTCTGCATTTCTTCTCGGGCCATATTCTGCTTGAGAATGTACTCCTCCCGGAACACCTGCGTGGCTCTGCTGAGGAGCTGTAGACATTCCGGTGGGGGCGGTGATGTATCTCTGTCCCCAGCCTTCAGCACAAGGGGATTGGTAGAGCTACGCGCCAGGATGTTGCGTATGTGCTGCTCAAAGGAGTCGTTTGCAAGCACACGAAGAGGGGAGCTAGCAGGGCCTGGGCCTGGATGGGAACAAAGCAGGGGGGGTGAAGATGGGCGAATCGAGCTCAGCAGTGGCAGCAGGATACACTCAAAGGTACTGGTGATGCAGATCATGGTGGCACCCAGGGAGAGATCAGACACAATCAAAAAACCATGGACAGGAGAAGACTGACTGGTCAGGAGGGGCCTGGTGCACAGAATATGCTCAACGATGCATCGCTTCTCAGCAGCCAGCTCCTGCAGACTGTCCTTATCCTCCTCGTTTGAATGGAGGAACTTCTGCAGCTTGTTGACCCAGATTAACCCAACACTGTGTACTCCTGCCTCGTGGGTGCAGTGATACCTGTGTTGACACAGGGGGTCTTGGTGAAGCCGGATAGGGCAGGTGAAATCAACTTCATGTTGCTCCTCCTCTTCGCTTGCAGCTACTTTGAGAGTCAGCTCCAATTCAACACACTCAAAAACATAAAGTGCAGGCACTGCTTCGCTGCCTCTGATCCACATTTCCACTGGCCGCGTGTCCTCCTCCTCTTCAGACTCCAGCACCACACAGTGATACAGTGTACCTGTTTCTGTGGAGATCACCAGTATGCTGGGAACACACGGCAGGCACAGAATAGCACATGCATCATATCCATAGTTGTCCTCTGCAGCAGGATACATGGGAAGGGGTCCAACAGGTTTTTTGATGTTAACACCACTGGCCCGGCTTGTGTAACTTATGTACGTCTCCCCATTTTCATAAAGGATGTACAAAGGATAGACCTGCTGGTCTTTGGAGGTCCTCAATGCCTGTTTTCGAGGAGACAACATAGGCCCAAAGTCGAATGCAACTGCAATCTCACCGAGAGATGCTGCATAGGAGCAGACTGGAGGGTGGAGGCTGATGTCCTCATCCGTTTGTGACAATGACAGAACGTTGGTTGGAGTGTGGGGCGATTTCAGACCGTAAAATCTGATGGTGTTATCGGACGTTAGCAGCACCAGATGAGGCTCATCTGTCTCACTGGGGTACCACGCAGCCTGGCGAAGTTTCACTGACTGTGAGCTGGTGAAGAAGCGTTCCGCCACGGAAATGGTTTTACAGTTAATCTCGCTCCGTCCGCCCTCGAACTCGGACCTCTTACCCCACCGCTGAGGCAGTTCCAGTACGGAGACGCCCCGGTGGCCGACTAGGGCGACGTGGTGCTGAGCAGGACTGAGCAACACTTGACATACCTCGAAGAGAGGAGGGTTGATGCACATCAGGGTCTGGAAGTTCCCGCTGCTGCCGCTTTCGTTCGAGTTCATCTGCCTCAGGTTGGTAGTGTAGAACATACGGTCCGTGTCGTCCCACACGAAGAAGTCTCCGCCCAAACAGAAAATAAGATTCTTGGAAATTCTCGCGTAATTTCTATCGTATTGGGAATCTGACTTCTCCTGAATTTTTCTGAATATTGCATGGTTTGGCAAGTCCTCCAGCCAACGCTCCACATTGAACGCCGCCATCTTGACCCGCCGTATGCTTTTTTTTCTTTTTCTGTTTTTAGCGATTGGTAAACAACACAAAAATGTGTTAGCGCCACCTACTGGACCAGAGCGTTGCTCAACTATATCTTGGGCAAAACTATTAGTCATTGTTGTCGTGTACGCCGGACCTTCAGAAACACTGAAGGACAAAATAATTATGAAAATAAAATTATCTTGGAGCATTTCTCACTGCATGCTGACATCAGTCAAATATGCTCCCTTACATCTAAAGGTAAAGTACAGTTAAAAAATAATATGAATGTGCAATATTTTTCAAGTCCATTTAGAGATGAAGGACATCTAAGACAAATATTTTTATAACCTTCCACCCTATTTTAGTAGACACTGAAAAAACAACAACTGTAAAAGCCAGGGTATTTATGCATGGATTCTTTTTAGGGATTTGTAAACCACGGAAAAACAGTACGATCAGGACAAAAATCCATCTCAGGGGACTAGACGTAGACATTATTGTTAGTTGTTTTGTAGTAGAAATCTATGAAATAAAATGACGACCATGAGCAATCTAAGGAGATCATCACATCGGGATAAGAGGTTTGTCAAAGATGAATAGGACTGATACAAGAGGAGACCTATTTAAGCTATTAATAGTAAAAAGGACACAACAGGATGATTGGGATCTGGGGATAATATTGTCTTTATTTTTATTTTATTTTTTAAATTAAGGTTAAATAATGTACGTTTCCTAATTAATGCTCATTATCCCAGAATGATCGTGAAATCAAATCCTGGGTATTTCTTTAAACTGTACTCTATAAAATTACAAGTTAATTACCTTTAGTACCTTTATTCAACACGTCCCTTAATACAGCATTACTACATTTGGCGCTGTATATTGTGGCAGTTGGGTTGGTTTTATTTACGGCTTGCTTCCAAACCCTGCAGCAACAGGAAATCTTTACGACAGTTGTTTAACGTATTTTGGTGGCCGGTGTCGTACATTTTGCAGAATCACCATGGCGTTGAAAGAGACCGCTGGACTGTACGAAACACTCAAAACAGAATGGAATAAGAAAAACCCAAACTTGAATAAATGTGGAGATCTCCTGAGTAAACTCAAGGTAATGCTCGATACTGTTTTTGCTCCCTTTATTTGTAAACTGGAATACTGAAGATCATGTGTATGATAGGTTAGCAATGTTAGCTAACGTTAGCGCTAACTAGGCTAACGCTGTTTGTTGTCTGTTTTTCAACTATATACCCCCATTATTGATTTTTTGAGCATGATAACGTTTTGATCTTAGTGTTGGTACAATAGAATAATTAAAATACGTCAGGGTTTATGTTACGATAGTAAAACCAACATTTAAATACATCCTCGGGTTTGCTATAGTAGTAACACTAATTCAATGCTAAGTTACTAAAACATTAGAAGTGACATTCAAGTTTCAATTGTATAAATCTTATAATAGATTCTGTTGAATTTCTAATAGTAGTTTTATTTTCACCTGACAATTGTTATTAATACATTTAATGCGATTGGATTTGCATAGGTCTCTATGGCTTTATGTTAGGAATGACTTGAAAATTTAACTAAAGAGTCGTTTAATCAACGATAAACCCAGTTTCTTACAGAGATAACACTTGGTGCAGGAGGTAGTTTTGAATGTTGACAACTTTTGTACAATTCTTAAAAATTAATACCCATGAACTGTGTTCATTGAAGGAAAAGTTGCAAATGTAAATGGTAAAATCTCGTAGATTAGAAAGACAAGTTACGGCTCATTTCTCAGATTGTTTTGTTTCCATGTTATTGAAAATGAATGAAGATTTTATTTATTATTGTTACTATTTAGCTACAGCTATTTTGTTATGCTTTATACTTTTTATATTGTCACTGTCTTACAGCTTAACTGGATACATTTTTCTGGTGATGGTGTAATATATAACACAAATCCTTATCTACAGGTTTCATTATTGGAGCTGAACTTTTTACCAACCACTGGGTCTGCACTCACGAAGCAGCAGCTCATTTTAGCTCGTGAGTAAACTGTGGTTTTATTAAATGTTTTGAGTGTGTAAAATGTAGAAAATTGTATTAATAATATAGTCAGTATATCAATTCACGTTTGGTCTTAATGTTTAGGAGATGTTCTTGAAATTGGAGCCTTGTGGAGTATCTTGAAGAAGGACATCCCGTCATTTGAAAGATACATGGCTCAGCTAAAATGTTACTACTTCGACTACAAGTAATTCCCACTATCTTTCATCACCTTGTACATATTAATTATATTTATTTATTGTAATATCTTGGATGTTTCTCTGTGTTTACCTGTTTTTTAAGGGATGAACTGCCCGAATCTGCCTACATGCATCAACTGCTTGGACTGAATCTTCTTTTTCTACTCTCACAAAACCGTGTGTCTGAGTTTCACACAGAGCTGGAGAGACTTAGTGCACGCGATATTCAGACTAACGTGTACATAAGACATCCAGTTTCTCTTGAGCAGGTGATACACTTTGATCTTTTACACTTTTTTGGATTTATACTTTTAAGACACTTGAATTTTTATTTTGTTTTAATTCGTATGTGACATATTTGATTTTGTGATTTCAAAATACAAATATGTATATACTGTAAATAAAATAAATTCCTGCTCAATGTGACTGATATTATAAGGATGTGATGAATCTTTTGTCCCTTTCAGTACTTGATGGAAGGAA